ACTCAGGAGGCTGAGGCAGAAGGATTGCTTGAGCCCAGGAGTTTGAGGTTGCTGTGAGCTAGGATGACGCCACCGCACTCTAGCCCGGGCAACACAGTGAGACTCTGTCTCAAAAAAAAAAAAAAAGTGAAAAGACAAGCTATAGAACACAAGAAGATGTTTAGAACGACAATACTACCAAGGATTAGGATCCAAAATACAGGAGAGCACCTACATACGTGTGTATGTGTGCGCATGCGTGTACAAACGAGATCAATGAACCACAGTAAAAAATGGGGCGCAAAAACTCTGAAGACAATTGACACAGTATATGTGCCCATTAAGCTTACAAATAGATGCCCAACCTACTTTGTAGTCAGGGATGCATAAATTAAAACAAAGAGAGGTCATGTTTACCCATCAGATTGGCAAAAAATTTTTTAAGTCACAATAGATCGAGAACTACAAAAGTTTTAACAGGTATTGTCAAGTATGTCCTCAAGGGGGCACTCTCTTACCCTGATGGTAGGCATGGAAATGGGTGAAACTAGAAGGAAATCTTTGTCAAGAATATATGTACCAGCCAGGTCGGTGGCTCACGCCTGTAATCCTAGCACTCTGGGAGGCCGAGGCGGGAGGATTGCTTGAGCTCAGGAGTACGAGACCAGCCTGGGCAAGAGCAAGGCCCTGTCTCTACTATAAATAGAAAGAAATTAGCGACATAACTAAAAATAGAAAAAATTAGCCAGGCATGGTGGTGCGTGCCTGTAGTCCCAGCTACCTGGGAGGCTGAGACAGGAGGATCGCTTGAGCCCAGGAGTTTGAGGTTGCTGTGAGCTAGGTTGACACCACGGCACTCTAGCCCAGGCAAGAGAGTGAGACTCTGTCTCAAAAAAAAAAAAAAAAAGAATATATGTACCCTTTGACCCACCAACTTTACATCTGGGATGTATTATTTGTGGATAATAAAAAAACAGAAATAACCTAAATGTTCATCTACAGGAAACTGGCAAAGGAAGTACGATTCATCATTCAGTTCTGGAGATGACTGGGCATTTCTCCCTTGCAAGCTGAGATCTTTCCATTTTTCCCATGCAAAAATTCCTCCTTTGCCTGGAAAGTACTGGGTTTGATAAACTGCCCAAAATATCGCTGGCATTCCTAGAGCATGGTAGCACAGGGCCTTAGCTCTTTCATCTCAAAAGACACCTTAACACAATACAAGGGATAAATTGAAGCATTAGTGTTCTGCAAAACTCTCCTATCTTGCTCTCTGTTTGAATAAATTATGCATATCAAATACTTTGTAGCATTTCTAATACAGCATAGAAGAAGCCAGCCTCTCAGTGTGTTTGCTGAGAAAAGCTTGAATAGGGGGTCATCACTGTCAACCATCCGGGATGTGTAGGTCCCTTGCAAAGAGTTCCCAGGTTGTGTCCACAATGCTTTTTGTCTGTTCTCCTCAAAAGGAGGGTGTTCTAACAGCTTGGACCTGAAAGAAGAGAGATTAGAAGAAAAAAAGAAAGAAAAGGAAGGGAGGGACAAAAGAAAGACAGAGAAACCTCATCCGCAGAGGACTAGCACCAGAGCAGCAAATATCTGATTATAACCTCATATTATCTTGAGTAGAAAATGAAAGAGACTGTTGAGAAACTCTTGGGCTGATTTCTACCTCTTGAAGTTCAGAGTTTTTGTCTTACTGCCTTATGAAAACAATACATTCATTAAATTCTGGCAAGGAGAAGTCTGTCTCATCTGATCTTTAACCAACGATGGCTAAAGTCCCTTCTTCTGAAACTTGATGTGGCATTTTCAAAGAATAAGGTATATTTGCAAACAGTAAACTGACATAGAAAGCATGTCAGGACATATTGTAGAGAAAAAGAAAAAGTTGCCTGAAGACTAAATAAAATATCATCTTGTTTGTGTGAAAAGAATTATGTGTATCTGACTGTGTAAATGAGTAGAAAAAGAACAGGCAGGATGTGCACCAAACTATCGATGGAGGTAACACCAGAGAAAGGCAGGCCACTTGCAACGATGGAGGAAAATCTTTGGTTTCTGTTCTATGTGCTTCATGTGCTTAATTTGTTCAGTGGGGACATATTTCCACATTTAAAAGATGTTTTAAATTGCTGGCAAATGAGAAAGATGTGGCCTGAGGAGTTTATAATCTTGCATGAGGACAGAGACAGCACAAGCCCTAGTCAGAACACCATTTGGGGGCATCTCAGGGGAACACAAAGGAGGGACCCAGAGACTGGGGAGGGTAAGAAAGGCTTCCAGAGGCAGGATAGCAAGACTGAGGTCTGAAGGGAGTGTCAGAGTTGGCTTGGCAAATGAGAGGAAGGAAAAGTGTTTCAGGAAGGGGGAACAGCATGAACCAAGACCCAAAGACAAGACAATTTGTTCCAAAGGATGTTTTGACCCTCCCCTTGGGCACCGCTCAGTATAATCTGGAAACTGTGCAAGAAATGAACTCACACTATACAGCCCAGTCCTAGCAACAGAAAGTAATTGATGGGAATTCCTCACAATTTGTTTTTGATGAGTTAGCTATGAAATAAACAGAAATAGCCAAGGTTTTTATGGACTAAAAAGTTGCCAGAGCACTTGAGCCTCCCTGATGAAATTTGAATCTATGAAATTTGATCCAGGAAAACTGGACATGAAGGAAGTCACAGCCACAAAGGAAAAGTCACAAACACAGACCCTATACTTGGGCAAAATTCAATATGGGACAAAACAGGAGTGATGAACCACAGATTTGTTGTAACACTTAACCCAAATGAGAACCAAGTTGAAATAATTTCAGAAACTGAAAAGGAAAAGAATTGAAATGAGTTTAACTGCCCTACATGTAAAATTGATCAGGGAATTTTAAATAACTGGAAAATGCTTCCTTGATAAGAATCTGTCAGTACCAGTAAATTCTGATTAAAATTTTATAATTACGCAGATTCCAAATATCTGGGAGCAAACATCAAGGTCAAATGCTCCTGTCATGAAGGAATCTCAAGTAGCCGTCAGAGAGGGTGGAGTGTAGGTGGGGAGAAGAGAAAGAAATTGGGGAGACAGCGGTAGAGACAGGTGGGCCCAGGCCAGGCAGGGTCTCCGTCCAGGAGCCCTGGGAAGCCACGGGAGCAGGAGGGACAGGGGGTAGAAAGACCCTTCTGAGGCCCTGTGGAGGTGAGGCAGGAGGGAAGAGACCGGAGTGCAGGGGGCTGGGGTTAGGGTGGGAGGGGCTGAGGGCTAAGCCATGGCATGGATGGACTTGGGGGACCAGGCAAAGAAAGTTGTGGGTCAGAAGGGCTGGGACTAGGACAAGAGCTGTGGAGGAAGAAGAGGGAGGAGGTAAGGATGTCAACCAGGTTTGGGGGCTCTGAGAAACATCTAGTAACCTCCAGACCTAGCAATACACAGCAGCAAGGCTGAGTGGCCGGCAGCGGGGCTCTGGCTTCAATCCTGTCATCCCTAAAGCCAGACACCCGGGTGCGAGCCAATTGCTTTGGGGCGATTGTCTTTGTTTTTCCACAATGAGCAAGGTCGTCTTGCACTGAGACCCCGGCAGGAAGGAGCGACGGTTCAAAGGCCCGCGGGACACTCACCGGCAGCCCACGCCCAGGAGGAAGCAGGTGAGGGCCAGCAGGTCGCACTGGTTCCAGGTGTCGGAGACGTAGAGGCGCAGGCGCTGGCGCACCGAGGCCTGGCCCGGCCCGGGGCCCCCGCTGGCCAGGCTGCCCCAGCCGCCGCCGCCCAGGCCCTGGCGCAGCTCCTCGCACAGCATGGTGAAGGCCCAGAAGTACAGCAGCAGCTCGGCGGCGCCGGGCCGCGCGGGCTGGAAGTCCACGAGCAGCACGTGGGCGAAGAGCAGCAGGAACAGCAGGTAGCTGACCACGTTGCCCACGAAGGCCGTCACCGGCGCGCCCCAGAAGTGGGACCAGCGGCGCAGGCACCCGCACCCCCAACAGCTGTCCCCGCGCCTGCGCTGTGGCAGGGCATCCAGCGATGTCTTCTTGGCGGGGTCCTCCAGCCTGGGGGAAGAGGACAGAGAAAGAGCCCTCAACCCAACCCCTGAGCCCTGACCTCCGCGCCGCCACCCAGACCTCTGGCCCTGCACGTCCCACTCCTCCCCGGCACCACCTGAGACCTGGCCTGACTTGCAACTCAGTCTGACAAGAGCCACCTTCTTGTCTTTTGACCCCTGCATCTAACCTCTGACCTCTGGAATCTCCTACCATCAAGACTCTGACCTTCCACGTCTAAATTCCTCTACCCTTTTGACCTCTGTCTCCGGGGCTGACCGCTGACCCCCACCTGGCTCTTGCCTCCAAGTCCCTCCTCTTCCCCTTCACAACCTGTGATTCTCTGTCTGACCTGGGACCATCGACCGGACTTCTGACCCCAAATGATCTCTGACCCCTCACTTTCGTGATTCATATCCTTGGGCTTGACAATTCATGTCTCTATTAGCCCCGACCCACAAATTCCCACGTGAAATTATCCAGCCCACATTGCTCATATAACTGGTCCTTCCCCATATCTGATGCTGACCACGCAGCCACAGCTGGCCTCTGAACTCTGGCCTTCGTGGTCTGCTCGAATCTCTGGCCCTTCTCGCCTGAGTTCTGATCCTCTATCCCAGTTTCATCAACACACCATAATTCCTCACTTACGGTGTACAATCCAATGATTTCTAGTATACTCGGAGTTGTGAAATCATTACCACAATTAATTTTAAAACATTTTCGTCTCTCCAACAAGAAGCTCCGTACCCATTAGCATCCCTTTTCATTTCCACAGCCCTAGGCGATATCTGTCTGCGGGTTCGCCTCTTCTGCACACTTTGCATAAGTGGAATCGTACACCCTATGGTCTTTTATGAATGGCTCTGCTCACTTAGAGTCATGGTGATGTCGTAGCATGTGTTAGGACTTTATTTCTTTTTATTGCTGAATAACATTCCATTGTATGGATAGACTCCATTTTACGTATCCATCCAGCAGTTGGTGGACATTGGGGTTGTTTTCACTTTTGGACTGATGTCTTTCTGCTTGGTTTTTAAAGAGAAGACATCCCTCCAACCCAGTTTGTTTTTCTTGTTAGCTTTTTGAATTTATTAATATTAATATTTGTGTTGGCATTTTTGATTTGAGTTGAGAATTAAGAGTCAGGATGAAATTGGGACAGAGGATCAGTGATCATGACCAGGGGCCTTGGGGTCGGGCAAAAAATAGGTAAAAAATCTTTAAATGAACCAAATCCACCTGATTCTACTTGCTACAGAAGGACGGGAGCATATAGAGTGTGAAGCATATCAATTTCTAGTGACAGCCTCCTTGGTGACAGAACCAAATCTCAAGCCAAGCCTTGAGCTTGGCATTTTGGAAACTTCCTCAGTATCATCAGTGGCTTGCTGAAGCCACAATCTCTGGCCTTCCTCCCAGTCCCTGATAAGACACGGAAGTGACAAGTGTCCTGAAGCTGCCCACGGTGCCCCCACCTCACACGATGCTGGGGGTGTCACTCACCTGACAGGACCTTCCCCATTAATGCTCTTATTCACGTCAGACTCTAGGTCCTTCTGTGTGGACCTCTCTTCTGATTTCCTGGCATTGAGGGAAGAACAGAGTGAGAAATGCAGAGAAGGGAAGAGGAGAGGAGTTTTCCAGAAAAACTCAAACTTCTTCACCCAGAGACATTACAGAGAGACAGAGAAGTGGTCCCCTAAAGTCACCCCAAAGGCTCTTCCCCTAGAGCCATGACCAGAAAGGCAGAGGAATCACCCCTAGAGACACCACAGGGAGCACCCCCAAAAGCCTACCTCCTAGGACACTCCTTCTGGGGGAGGGAAAGAAAGTCCCTTTCCCAGGGAAGGGACACACTGGGCAGACCAAGTAGGAAAAGTTGGCAGAAATGAGCAGGAAGAAGAAACTGAACACCCCCACCACCACTCTACCCCCAGAGGACTGACCTGAAGGTGATGAGGTCAGTGTAGATGAGTGGGGGACAAAAGAAGGCGAGGACCAGGGCCCAGATGGGTGTGCTGCTGTCCATCTGCCCCCACCACTTCTGGGTCAGCAGAGACTGTGAGGTGTAGGGAAGATCAGATGCCAAATCTCCCCACAGCCCCCTCTCTAAGATCCTCAGCAAGGGTTGGGCCACAGCTGTGACCAACATGGAGACCGTAACTACTGGAGGTGCAGACAGTGGTCAAAGGCAAAGACAACTTGTCCCAGGTTTTGGCTAGCATAGTTAAACAGCAAATTTATTGACACTGTATGCCAGATATTGGGCTGAGCACTTTACATAGATTAGCTCACTTAACCCTCACCCAAATCCCCAAGAGGGTGGGTTAACTAGTATTTTCTCCTTGTCATATATGAGGCATAGAGAGGCTAAGGAAATGCCCCAAACCAGTGAGGGGTAGAGCCAGAATCCATGAGTTTAACCGCTGTCTGCAGCAAGGGCTCTGGGTCCTTATTGGAAATGTCAGCCAAATCATTCCAATAGATGAGGGTGGAACTTCCTGTTGGATGGGCAGAACTTCCTGTACAAGGGTGGGACTCTGTGAGCTCCTATCAGATTTAGATTAAGGATATTGAGAAAGTTTTCAAACTGTCAGATTGTCAGGATCGGAGAGACTGTGGGAGCAAGCGGGACTTCCCAAGGGAGAGGATTTCCTACAGGAAGGGTGGGATTTCCTAGGCCAAAGTTTGTCTATGTCCAAAACACTAGGTAATTGTCCAGTGAGGTAATTCCAATTGTTGAGAACCAGAACTAGGGACCTCTTAAAAAACAGGAAGGACTTCCTGTGGATGAGGCGGGACTTCCTTTGGGAGAAATGGGAGCAGGGAAGACTTCCTGTGTGGGAGGTGGGACTTCCTATTAGGGTCAACAGGAATTACTGCATCTGGAGTGGGACTTTTTAGGAGGATGGGCTTTACTGTGGGAAGGTCAGCTTTCTGTGGCAGGGAGTAGGGCTTCTTATGGAAAGAGCGGCCTTCCTGAGAGAGGAGCAAGACTTCCTGGGGGAGGGATGGTCTCCAGGGGGAGGGGCTGCTCAAGACCATGGTGGCAGGGGCTTATCCCCATAGTTTCCAGAGTCCAGCTGGGGACTCTCAGATGCTCACCTGTATCCCATCTTGAGCAAAGAAGGCACGAGCGTCAGCCTGCATGGCAAGCTGGAGGCAGGTGGCATCGCCCCAGAGTGGGCAGTGACGAAACAGTAGTTGGGTGGCCCGATTCTCGCTGCTGTGGAAGCACTTGCCAAAGAGGTCTGGGGCAAGGAATTTATGTGACAGGGAAGGGAAGCAGTCGGGAGAGGGTGTGAGAGGAAAGGAAAGGGAACTTAAAGAGAAGGGGCAGGCGTATTCAAGGAGTGGGAAGATGCACGTCCGCCCTCTTATGGCAGCGCCCGTCCCTGCTCCTAGGTACCATGCACCACGTACCAACGGCCATCCCCTCAAACTTGGTGGCCAGGTCTTTCCTCCGTGCTGCCTCCTCAGCCTCAGACTCCAGACGCGCCAGCACTCGAAGCAGCAAACAGGCCCCAAGAGCTGAAGCCACAGCGTTGGAGCCCTGGAGAGACAGAGAGGGGGGCACGAATGGGTTAGAGTTTAAAGTGCACTTCAGAGAGGGAGCAGGGAACAGGGAGAAAGCCTGTGACCAAGGGAAGGTATGGAGTCAAAGGTCAGAAATTAACTGGGGTCATCAGAGGCCAAGAATGAAGTAATGTTTGGAGATGAATCTGGGAGAAACTGGACATCAGGTGACAATGTCAGAAGTCAGGTGGCTCAGAGACTAGGGATACAAGTCAAGGGCTGGGTTGGAGTGAAAATGACGTCAGCAGTCATGGAAAGGTCAAGAAGCAGCTGGAAAGGTCGCCAAAAATGGCAGAGTAGGGAACTTCAAAACTCCATCCCCCCACAAAAGCAATGAACAAGCCAGTAAAAACAGTCAGAATCACTTTTCCAGAATTATAGAATCTAATTCAAAATTTACAAAAACCAAAAGCATGCTTACTGAAGACATAAACTGCTAAATTTCAGTAAGAAAGCACTGTGACATTTTAATCTACCCGCTTACCATCCCTGGCTCCCCAGCTCAGTGGTGACCTTTAAGGCAATGGCCCACATCCCTGGTGCAGGTTGCTGGCATTGGAGGGAGCAATGCAGACCTTACTCTCAAAGAATGTGTAGTTGTTGCGTGGATCTATCTGGTGGGAACAGTTCATGGGCTCGACTTTGTTTCACCAGCCTTGGAGCTTCCCCAGAGCAGAAGTGGCTTCCCAAGTAGTATGTGTTGAAAGACTATAAAGGCAAATAAATTAGTCTCAGCTACCTAAGGCAAGGAATCACAGTGGTGGCAGGCAAAAGATACACTGAACGGCTTGAGAGGAAAAGGCTGGGGAAGGAGATACTTGGGGACACAAGAGCTTTGAAAAGCTCCCTCGTGTACCAGGAAATCCAGAAGACTACACACATGACCAGGGCTAGAAAATACAAGAGAAGACCTTGAGCTGTCACCTCTGGCTGAACCTTTAAGCTCTGCACAAGCAGGAAGTGAAAACTAAAGTGAAATTGTAAACAGTTTAGATAATTGTTGAAAGAATGCTTCAACAGAGAGCCAGTCTGCAAACTGAGAGAGTTTTTTGTTGTTTTGTTTGTTTGTATGGCTCCAAGCATTGAGGGAATTCTCTGTCAGGTCACTAACTGACTACTAAGCTAACAGAACAGGGACTTCCATGGCCACACATGACAAAGATCACAGACTTTACAGAAATAGTTTACAAAAGTCACTACACAAACAAACAACTGTGAACCACAACAAGCAGCAAAGAGAAACCCTGGAGGGAAAGAGTAAGCTGATTTCCAGAGTGGCCACATTATAATGTTCAAAAATGTCCACTTTCTAATAAAAAATCATGAAGCATGCAAAGAAGCAATAAAGTATAGCCCATACACTGAAAAAAAGGAATTTAATAGAAACTGTCCATGATGAAACCCAGACATTGAAATTATTAGACAAAGACTCTAAAGAAAGTATCTTAAATATGCTCAAAGTGCTAAAAGAAATCACAGACAAGAAACTAAAGGAAGCCAGAAGAAAGATGTCTCATCTAATGGAGAATATGAATAAATACATAGAAATTATAAAAAGGAATCAAACAGAAACTCTGGAACTAAAAAGTAAAACTGAAATGAAAAATTCACTAGAGGGGCTCAACAGCAGATTCAAGCAGGCAAAAGAATTGGTGAACTTGAAGCTAAATCCTTTGAGATTATCTAGTCTGAGAAGCAAATAGAGAAAAAGAATGAAGAAAAATAAGCAGAGCCCAAGAGACCTGTCAGACACTACCAAGGGTACTATATATATGCATAATATGAACTCAAAAAGACAAGAGAGAAAGGGGAAGAAATAATATTTGAAGGTATAATGTCCTAAAACTTCCAAAATTTGATGAAAGACATGAATCTACACATCCAAGAAGCTCAAGGAACTCCAAATAGGAGAAATTCAAAGAGATCCACACCAAGACATATTATAATCAAATTGTCAAAGGCCAAAAATAAGGAGAATCTTGAAAACAGCAAGAGAGAAGTGACTCATCACATACAAGTGATCTTCAATAAGATTAACATGTAGGATTCAATAATTATCACATATTATAATTATAACATTGTAAAACTCTTAGAAGAAAACATAGGGATAAATCTTCATGGCCTTGGATTTGGCAATGGTTACTTATATATGACACAAAAAAGCACAAGTAACAGAAGGAAAAAATAGACAAATTGGACTTCATCAAAATTTAAAACTTTTGTGCATCAAAGGACACTCTCAACAGAGTGAAAAGATGACTTACAGAATGGGAGAAAATATTTGCAAATTATATATCTGATAAGGAATTAATATCTAGAATATATAAAGAACTCTTACAATTCAACAACAAAAAAGACAACCCAATTTAAAAATGGAGAGCAGACTTGAATAGACATTTCTCCAAAGATATTAATATACAGATGATCAATAAGCACATGAAAAAATGCTCAACATCACTAGTCATTAAGAAAAATCAGGGCTGGGCACTGTGGCTCACACTTGCAAGCCTAACACTTTGGGAGGCCAAGGTGGGAGGATCGCTTGAGGCCAGGATTTCTAGACCAGCCTGAGCAAGAGCAAGACCCTGTCTCTATAAAAAATAGAAAAAATTAGCTGGGCGTGTTGGCACACACCTCTAATCCCAGCTACTCAGGAGGCTGAGGCAGGAGGATTGCTTGAGCCTAGGAGTTTGAGATATCAGTGAGCTATGATCACACCACTGCACTCCAGCCTGGGCAACAGAGAGAGACTCTGTCTCAAAAAAAGAAAAAAAGGAAGGAAATTCTGACACATATTACGACATGGATGAACCTTGAAGACATTACATTAGATAAGCCAGACACAAAAGGACAAATGTTGTATGAGTCCTTATATGAGGTACCTAGAACAGTCCTGCTCACAGAGACAAAGAGTAGAATGATAGTTGCCAGGGGCTGGGGGGACAGGAGTTTATTATTTAATGAGTAGGAAGTTTAAGTTTGGGAAGAAGAAAAACTCCTAGAGATGGATGACAGTGATGGTTGCGCAATAACGTACTTAACGCTGCTGAAGTGTACATTTAAAAATTGCTAAAATGATACATTTTATGTTACGTATATTTCACCACAATTTTTTAAAAATGGAAAATAAAAGTGTTGGCAAGGGCACAGAGAAAATGGAGCCCCTGTATATTGCTGGCGAGAAGGTAAAACGGTGCAACCACTGTGGAAAACAATCTGGCAGTGCCTCAAAAAGTTAAACACAGAGTTTCCACAGGTTTCCACACTGAAAACAGGTGTTCAAACAAAACTTGTATGTGAAGGCTCCTAGCAGCACTATTCACAATAGGCAAAAGGTGAAACAACCCGATGTCCGTCAACGCTCTGTCCATACAATGGAACATTATTCAACAACAAAACAGAATGAAATACTAACACATGCTACAACACGGATGAATTTTGAATACATTATGCTAAGCGAAAGAAGCCAGACACAAAAGGCCACATATTGTCTGAGTCCATTTATAAGAAATATCCAGAATAGACAAATTCACAGAGATTGAAAGCAGATTAGCGGTTGCCAGGGGCCGGCGGAGAACAGAATGGGGAGTGACTGCTTTGTGGGTACAAAATTTCCTTTTGGGGTGATGAAAATGTTCTGAAACTAGGTAGTGGGGAAGGCTGCATAACATTGTGTACTAAAGGCCACTGAATTGTACACTTTAAAGTGCTTTAAATGGTGAATCTTACGTTATATGAATTTTATCTCAATGAAAAAAATTTATACTGAACTCATGACCTGATGGGTTGAAGAAAGGGGGTCCTATTAAGGTATTTCTATAACAGAAAAGCAGGCATCTTGGATCCTACTCAAATCTTGTGACTCTTTTTTTTTCTTTTTCTTAAAACTCTCAAACATCTCTCAGATGTGTCCCAACATTTCCATCCCATCTGCTTGGGTCCAGGCGGTCATCTGGGCTACCTGGAAAACCCAGCTTCCCTTCCACAGCTGGCTTCCTTGCTGCTAGCTCTGATCTTTACCGCATTGCAGTGACAACGACGTATCTACATTGCAAGTGGAACTCTGTCTAAGTGATTCCCCATCAGCTGCGGGGGAAAGTCTAACCCCCTTATGTAGGCGGCCACTTCGAGAGGATGGCATTGATTTATATGGACGAACGTGGGGAAATGCCCAACACACACACACTTTTTGTTAACGGGAAAAGTATGTATGATGTGGGGAGAGGAAAGGAAAACGGAGCAGTTGGAGGCATGTGTCAGGGACTCAGGATGGGGTGGTGTCAGAGGTCGCGAAATCGAGTGGCGGGCCTTGGTCGGCATAGGACAGGGCTGCCGCAGGGCAGGATTAGGGATCGGAGCCAGCACTCACCATCTCCCAGAAGTACAAGGCCATCTGGGCTCTGTTCAGCAGCAGTGCCCACAGGAGCAGGTCATTCCAGGGGGCCTGCCCGAGGCCAGCGTCCAGCGAGAGCTCGGAGGTGGCTCTGTCCAGGAGCAGACGCACCTGCAGCGACGGGAGGCGTGGTGAGGACTGACCCCGCCCCCGCCCCGCCCCGCCGCCCCACCCGTGGTTTGGCCACACCCCCGCTCCCTGGCCACGCCCCTCCCCGAGCTGGTCCCGCCCCCAGGCCCCTCCGCGCCGAGTCCTTACGCTCTCCGCCTTCTCCTTGCTGCCCGGGCCCGGGTGGGGCTCCGAGGCGGCCCCGGAGGGGTACCGCGGGGCGCACATCTTCCCCAGCAGCATCTTCAGCACCTGGCCCACCTCAGGGGGCGGCGGCTCCGCAGCCTCGCCTTTTAGGGCAGAGGCTTTGGCGGCCGCGCCGTGGGACACCTGGTCCAGGAGGCTGCGGATGAGCGAGCTGGGGGGCACCGCGCTGTAGAGTTGGTCCAGGCGCGTCGGGGTCAGGAAGCGGCCCAAGCTGAGGCCGTGGGAGATGAGCAGGCGCACGAACTCAGGCCGGTCGTTGAGCAGGGCGTCCATGAGGGAGGCCTCCAGGTGGAAGGACTGGCCGGCGGGATGAATGGGGAAAGACATGCGCAGAGGACACACAGAAGGCCAGGTGAGCTCAGAGGTCAAGGACAAGAGATGAGGATACAGGGCTATCAGTGACAGATGGATGGATGGGGAGAGGGGGAACAAGATGGGGTTAGACAACAGTCAGAGATGGGTGGAGAATCAAGGGAAGGCTGGACAGCGTGATGGAAGGCAGAGCCACGTGTCCTAGAAGTCAGGGAGGGAGGAGAGCACATCCCCTCTGACAGGATCCCCAGGCGCTGACCCCTCACCCGCCATTGGATGTCCCCCCGAAAGAGTTCGCTCTGGGCAATGTCCACGCGGTTCCAAGCCACCGCCAAACGCAGCTCGTCCAGGTAAGCTGAGGCCTCAGAGCTCCCGCAAGCTGGAGGGTTGAGATAGAGGGGAGCAAGGAGTCAGGGGGAGGGTGGCGACCTCAGCTGAATGTCTGTTTTGCTTCTATTTCGGATGCCCGACATTTAAACTCTGTATAAAGCGGGTGTTGTGGGGCAGAGTCTGGGGTCGTTAAGCAGTCAGGCTGCTACAGGCATAAGGTGATTCGGCTCAGGGCACAGCACAGACCACGGGTTCTGAGCCCCCAGGAAGAAGGAAAGGAATCATTACGGACCAGGCTATCGGAGGGATGGAGAGAGAAATCCGATACAGTTCCTGCCCTGAAGGGGCTGATTCTGCTAGGGGAACTCTGCCCCGGACACACACACATAAGTACACTCAGAATGCTCAGTGCCCTCAGAGGTGGGCATAGAATATGATCAGGGCCTGGAGGAGGCTACAGGCACAGAGGTATGGAGTGTGGCCCAAGAGAACCTCCTAGACGCTGGGCGTTGAGGGAGTGCTTTGGAAAGACCGCTAGGATTTGGGGGTGCGCATCTAAGGTGGGAAAAGAACCTTCGAGGCAGCAGGAACAGCTTGAGCAAAGGCTTGGGCGCAAGAACACATAGCATATGATTAAAAACGTGAGTCACTCTGATTTCTGAAACTTGGGGTGAAAGGAAAGAGGTGACAATAGCAGAAAATGAGTTTGGAAAAAATCTGAACATTTGAGAGACTCTGGGATAGGCTGGAGGTCATTGAAAACAGCAAGGGAGAACAAAAGGCCTTTAAATTTTTGATCCAGCTATTTGATGGGTCCAAACACGTTCAGGCAGCAGGAGCATGAAACCTTCTACAGAGCACCTGTGCCATGGAGTTAGTTTTCCCTTCTGCCTCCACCTGCTCCACATCTATGTCCAAAGAAAATCCATTGTGTTTTGGTCATCCCAAAAACTGGTATTACAGAGCTGAGCAAATGGGCTCTGGGGCAGGCAGACCTGGGTTCCAATCCCTGGTCTTCCAACACCACCTGAATGACTTCGAGCAAGCCACCGAACCTTGGGAGCCTCCATTACTTTGTCTATAAAATGGGACTAATAGTGCCCCCCCATATAGCAATGTGATCAATAACAGCAACTGCAGGAAGAGGTTCCAGACTATGGGGAACGCGCAGCTTAGCCACTGTGACCTCGACGGTTGATAGCTGAGGAAACAGAGGCCCAGAGAAAGGCAGGGCCATGTCTAGTACCACACAGCTTCATATTTCTTTTCGAATCCAGAGGCCAATTCAGAGTGGGATTTTCTAAGATTCTATGAATCTCCGCGACTTTCCCCACAGTTCCAAGAGAAGGAAAGAGACAGTTTCTAATACCTTTCTTCATCTTCTGCTTTAACCTGGCACCATTTGTCATCCGAACCCCCCACCCAGGCCTTTCATGCTCACCAGGTCCCACACTGAGCTCAGCGTCTACCCCCGACCCATCTCCCCCTGGGTCCCCGTCTCCCAGTCAATGAGGCAGACCCCCAGGTCTGTCCTTGTCTGCCCCTCACGTCCTCTCCCGTGCCCCATCCCATCGGTTCCCCAAGCCCCATGTCCAGCCCCCTGACTCTCTCTGCCCAGCCCTCCCCCCAAGCCACTGCCCCGCTGGCCCCAGCCGCAGCTCCAGCTTTGTCCCCTACGACCATCCCCGACCACCCCGACCACCAGCACTGCAGTCTCATCTCCACTCTGCCCCAGCCACTCACAGAGGGTCTTTCTATGCACGGAGCTGACCCTGGTCCTCCCCTGCCTCTCATGACAGTCTCAGCCCCTCTGCCTGGCCTTTGAGGTCCTAAGCGGTGTGGCCCTGCCTGTCACACTGGCCTTGTGTCCAACACTCCCTTCGTGCCACGTGCTACATACCAACCCCGTGAGCCTCTTGCCCCAAACATGCCCCTCGTAATGCATGACCGAGAGTCATACAGACCTGAATGAAAAGCCTGTCCCCTGCTACTAGCTGGGTGACCATGGGCAAGTCACTTTTCTCCTCTCTGAGCCTCTGTTCAACTGCAAAATGGGGGAGCTCGTCCTTGCAGGCAGGGATGGGGGATAAGGAACAAAAGACTCTTACGGAGCCTTCATTCCCTCCCGCCTCCTTCGCGCTGAAACCTCATCCGTTCCACTCCGCCACCCCAAATCCCGCCGGCCATCTCCGACGTCCTCAGCGGAGTGCGATCCCTCCCACTGCTGCAGGCAGCAGGCTCGCGACACCACCCCTCGAACCACATCTCACGGTGCTGCCCCGCTTTCTCCCAGGAGGCTGCTGAGTTAACTTCTGTAAAGTGAACTAGATTTGCCACTGTCGTCCTGTATTTAAGGATGTGCCCCCACAGGAAGTGGAATCGTATTAAGAAGGACCCCTCTTTATTAGGCCACACTGGGGACCAGGCACTGCTCGACCCTTGCCTCTGAAGCTCACCACACTCCTGCAAGATATTATCTCCGTTTTTAAGAGAGAAAAACTGAGGCTCAGAGAGGGGTACTCTCTTTCTCAAGGTCACACAGCAAGGAAGGAGCCAAGCTGGTGTAAATTCAGCTTTGTCTGGTTCCAGAGTTAAAAGTAACTGCTCTTTCCGCTGCCCACAAACACGGGGGATACCAGTGGGGTGAGGCCCTGGGGCTGAGGATGTCTACATGTTGCCTCTGTGCCTCTGGGCAGTTTTCAGCTAAGGAGGTGTTTCCCCCAGAAAATTCTTCTGACAACAAAATGATTCTCCCCACCCACAACCCCAAAGATCCCTGGGGATCATTCTTACTCCTTCTCTGTCCCTCCCTCCAGCTTACTAAGTCCAAATTCCACCAACTCTTCAAGGTCCAGTTTAAATACCCACTTCTCCTCGAACTTTCTCCCCTACTGATAGTGATTCTTCCCTGTGTTTTTGTCTTAAATTTTACTCAATGTTGTGTCCAAACAACCCCAGTAGGATCTGGGATCCTTAAGAGTAGGAAACAGGTCTGCTTTGATTTCTAGAGCCCAGGATGATGTTTGTTGAATAAATAAATGAGTCCCATGCCCAGTCTCTTCCAGGTGGGCACTGTGCTCCCTGCCTTGGTTTTCATCACTCAGTCTTCTAAGCTGCCATTTCTAGTGAGAGATCAGGAGGTCCTCACTGGGACATGGCAGTTTGACTCATGCCCAACCAAAGTGCTTAGCAAGTAGTGGAGGCAGACAGAAAAGGAAGAATGGGCGGGTGGGTGGACAGATGGAAGAATAATTGGAGGGATGAATGGAAAGATGGATAGATGGATGGATGGATGGATGCAAGATGGATGGATGGAAGAATGGGTGGATTTGAGAATGAAAGGATGGAATTGTCAATGGATGCGTGGGTGGATAGGTGAAAGAATGGATGGATGGAAAAGACGGATGGATGGATGGATGGATAGATGGATGGAAGAATGAGAGATGAATGGAAGGACGGGTAGCTGAATAGATAGAAAGACCAATCTGCACATATGGATGGGAGGAAAGATGAAAGAATGGATGGATGGATCCAACAGAGGGAAGCAGATGTTGGAACAACATGAAAGCATCTGGGGAAACTGCCCAAGCAGCACTGTGTCAAGCCCCAGACACACTGCAAAGGCGAAAGACAGAGAGAGATAAAAGGGCCAGGGCCTTAGATTAGAGAGGATGGATGAAGGCCAGGAAAGGTGTTCGAGGTTGAGCCGAGAGAGGGAGAGAATTCAGTGGTCCAACTCTTACCCTTCACGAGGGCCTTCAAAACAATGGTCTCAAATTCCTCAGAGCCATCCTCAGATGAATAGACCGTCAGCAGCTCCTTCCGGGTCATAATCCTCTCCACCTGCAGACAGCAAATCCTCCATCTCCAGCCCAGCTCCTCCTCGGCCTGTCCGGAGGAAGGCAGGAGGCCACTCCCCACTCGGATGTAGCAGTCTGGGTGCCCAGCACCCTCCACTCCCGGAGCCCAGGAGTCTGGGCCCCCCACCCCTCCTCCCTCAGACCCAGGAGCCCCGGTCCCCAGTTCCCTCCTGTCCCAGGATCCAAATTGGGCCCCCAGTGTCATACCTGGGCCTGCAGAACCTCAGGGTCCCCTTTGGGGAAGAAACGCCTAATCCGATCCTGGGCTTCCCCTCGCCTGGCTCCCCCACTCCCCGGGGCCAGAGTGTCCTCCAGGGTCTCCACCAGGCAGTCTGCCGCTCCCCCAGAGCCAGCGACCAGGAGGCAGGGGAGCTGAGCCTGGGTGGCATTCTCTATCCGCTACAGGATAAAGGGGAGAGTCAGGTCAAGGAAGGCAGGACAGTCACCCTGCCTGGAGGGGAGCCCTTGCCCCGCTAAGACTCAGGACCCAGAAGGCTTCCCTCTTTGGCCCAGGCATCCGGGCCCTCATACCTTCAGCATCTTCTCATCACCATCAATCAGGAGGAGGAGGACAGGGATGTCAATTCCACTCCCTGAGGAGAGGAGAAAGGGGGCTTGGTCACCTCCCATGAGCCTCTCCTGGGGATGGGAGAGAAATGCATTTCCCAGGAGCCCTTGTGGCAAACACTGCCCTCTCTTTAATCCTCTGTCCTGAGGCTCATGGGAACTGTCATTTCTTTGAGCACTTTGGGAGGGGCTCGATATTGAAGACAGTAATGCTTCACTTCGCAAGGGCGGAGGAGGCGGCTGAGGACCAGGACTCCTGGGTCTGGGAATGAAGCACGTGTTTCTTTTTTTTTTTTGAGACAGAGTCTCACTGTGTTGCCCGGGCTAGAGTGCCATGGCGTCATCCTAGCTCACAGCAATCTCCAACTCCTGGGCTCAAGCGATCCTCCTGCCTTAGCCTCCCAAGTAGCTGGGACTACAGACATGTGCCACCATGCCCGGCTAATTTTTTCTATATATTTTTAGTTGTCCAACTAATTTCTTTCTAATTTTAGTAGAGACGGGGTCTCGCTCTTGCTCAGGCTGGTTTCGAACTCCTGAGCTCAAACAATCCGCCTGCCTCGGCCTCCCAGAGTGCTAGGATTACAGGCGTGAGCCACCGCGCCCCGCCAAGCACGTGTTTCTTGCATGAGTCAGTCCTGTAACTGATTAACCGCCCCGGAGCCAGACAGGGCGAACGTTCAAATAGAAAAGGAAGGAAATACGAAAAAAAAGACTATCCAAACGCAATATAGATATTTGTCAAAGCCCAACAATAAAATCATATAAGATGGTTTTATACTCTCCATTAAAGTAAGAAACTAGACAGCATCACCACTGTTCACGTTCCACTCATCCCGGAGTTTTGTGCTACTGTAATAATGTAAGAAAATGAAATATAATAATTGAAATTAAAACTGGTATTTTTTTGGTAAAGCTAGAAGAGACAAAGGTGTCTATTTGAAGAAAAAAACTATTGTATTCCCAGAAAATTGGAAGAGTCCACCAAAAATGGAAATGAAAAAAAGATTAATAAGAAAATTTGGTAAGAGGGTTGAGAAAACAAAAATACACAAATATCAAAAACTTTTCTCCAAACTAAGGCCCGGCGAGGTGGCTCACGCCTGTAATCCTAGCACTCTGGGAGGCCGAAGCAGGCGGATTGTTTGAGCTCAGGAGTTCAAGATCAGCCTGAGCAAGAGCGAGACCCCATCTCTACTAAAAATAGAAAGAAGTTAATTGGACAACTAAAAATATATACAAAAAATTAGCCGGGCATGGTGTGCATGCCTGTAGTCCCAGCTACTTGGGAGGCTGAGGCAGGAGGATCGCTTGAGCCCAGGAGTTTGAGGTTGCTGTGAGCTAGGCAGCCACGTACTCTAGCCGGGCAAAAAGAGTGAGATTCTGTCTCAAAAAAAAAACAAAAAAATTTTTCTCCAAACTAATAATTATATGTATCTTGTTCATGTTTTGATAAAATTGTAAGATACCAGGAATTCATTCAACCTGAAAGGTACAGGATCTTTATAAAGAAATTTACAAATCTTATATAAGGACAAAGCCTGAAGAAATGGAAAAACTAACACCAAGTCAACTTGTCACAAATTAACACATAAATTCAGTGCAGTTTGGGGAAAGGGAGAATTAGGGGAAGCGTGGAAGTATTTATCCTTTTTTGAATGGAACAAAATATTTTTATAGTTTATGTAGAAGAACAAATGTCAGGGAAAAGCAGAGAAATTTTTTTTTTTTTTTTTGAGAAAGAGTCTTTACTGCCCTGATAGAGTGCCATGGCATCAGCCTAGCTCACAGCAACCTCAAGCTCCTGGGCTCAAGCGATCCTTCTGCCTCAGCCTCCC